TTAAATCTAAATACAAATATACTGGAGAAGATTTTGTAGCTCAGGTGGATGGATGATTTTCATGTGGTTTCAAATATTTAAATACTCTCACTTTTTATATTAGAACATGAAATATAAGCGAACAGAATTATTGTTTTCAATTAGATCTTCTTCAGGCTTTACTCTAATTTACATAGATTTATCTAGATAAAGCAATAAGAAGACGTAATTTGTCTGAATCGTGTAATGTATTTGCTCAACACATTTCGAACAATCTGATCCATCACACACGGACTTGTCATAGGAATATATATGAAATTAATCAAGAGGTAAGAGGTGAGAAAATAGACCACTTAGGTCAAGTTAAAAGAACATATAGGTCAAAATAACAATGAAGACCACTAAACCAAATAGCAGAGGTAATAGTACATCCACCCTGCTATGGTATCAAAACAAAATTTACCAAGGAAGGTTTAATGTGATGACAAATTGTTTTTGGACGCATAAAGGTGGCTTGAACTTTCTAATCGCTAGGGCTTCTACCAACTTTAGGATACGCCCCAAACACGTTATATAGATAGGTTTAAAAGAACTGTTAACGTCAGTTATATGTCTTGTCTCTATAATATGTTTCGCAATAGAAGAGGTAGATATCCTGTTCTCACCGTTAATAGGTTCTGAAGATTCCATTTTTTTTCTGGAGCCATTTTGGAATATGCTCGGAAGCCAGCCCTTAATTGCAGAGATCGATGAGTCCTCCCTATGTATGTGTGTCCACACGTACATTCAAATTGGTAAATACAGTGGGATGTGACATCATTTTTTGCACGTTCGAAGGGCTTAACTAGATATATTAACTTCACACTCTCAATTCTTATGATATTAGCTGCATAAAAAGTCTTTTTAGCAGCAGCGTTCAGCCTTTTTCTAGTTATCAAGCTGCTATGATGTCCCATATAGGGTAGCTTGATGTACACGTCTTTCTTAGGGGCGAGTTGGAGAGTGGGTCTTGGTGTTCCACTGACTACTTTATATCTCCTGATGAACTTGTCTGGATAATTGTTATCAACCAGAGTTTGCGTCAACTTTCTTTCTTCTTCATCAAGTGTGTCTTCAGTGCATATTCGTCGGATTCTACTGAAGAGGCACCTCACTCACTAAGGCTCATTTGTACCTAACAGGTCAGAAACTGTGGTAATTGAGATACTGTCCTGTCCTATCCAGATAGGTTTTCTATAAATAGATCTTTTCATTGACCCATCAAGCCGTCGACTAAGCAATATGTCTAGCAAAGATAAACAATTATCTTCCCCTTCTACAGATGTAAGTGATATGCTATTCTGAAATTCATTCATTCGATTTAAAATTGAGGTGGCAGAACAAGGCTTATCACTGATGACTAGGATGTCATCTACTTACCTTCTATAAAAGTGGCACATTTTCGATTAAATCTTCCGATATGAATATGTCCTTTTAACTTAACCTAAGTGGTCTATTTTTCTCACCTCTTACCTCCTTATTAATTTCATATATATTCCTATGACAAGTCCGTGTGTGATGGATCAGATTGTTCGAAATGTGTTGAGCGAATACATTATACGATTCAGAAAAATTACTTCTTCTTATTGCTTTATCTAAATTCATTAAGGGAACTAATTGTTTTAAATAGATTTATCTATAAAAACTTTTAACCAATAACGGTGATTTTGTGGATCAAATAATAACAATAATAATAACACAGTTGCAGCGAAGAAAATTTTGTTTTCGACGACGTCGTCAACTAGGCTGTACATTCGCGTATTTATATCAAATGGATGGGAAAGTTCCAGAATAATTTCCTGTTACGGGTCAAATTATTAAAAATTACAATTAGGAATGAAAATACTATAATAAACAGGGGAAGGATAAAGCTCAAACAGAGTAGTATCATATTTACTAAGAAGATTGACATTGTGTAATTGGGGGTTAGAAATGTAGAATAATAATAATGTGGTAAATATTTTGAACTTCATTATTAACTATGATTATAGTAATAACAAAATATTGATAATAAGGTTTATGCAGGTAGTGATAACCATAAGGAAGGTAGTAATATGTGTATATGTAGACAGTTCAATAAATAAATAAATTAGGTCAAATATTAAAAGTTACGCAAGACTAAAGGTGAAGTGGACAAATAATCAGAGTTTAAATAAATATAATAAAAATACGAAGGAGATGGAAAATAATAAAGGGTGGGAGGGTTTTGAACAGAATTCATCTAGGCCAAGGGAGAGACAAGGGTCAAACAAACTTCTCTTATTGTATTCAAAGACTAGGATTGTTCTCTCGAATTCCCATAGATTTGGCTATGTGTTAAAAACGGGTTCGAAAGCCTCGATGGAATGCGATAGATAACTTTGAAGGCATTATTTTTGTCCACTTGGTGACCGCTATCAATCAAATGTCCCAAAATAGAACTTCTTATGGATTTTATTTAGACATTAAAGTTGTACCCATACCTAAATCTTCTACTGGAGCATGTGTCAAATTTAGACCCATTGCTATTACGTCTCCTTTTTTGAAAACTATGGAGAAATTACTTTTACTTAGTCTTGAACCTTCGCTTAAATCCTTTAATGACCCTAAACAATTTGCCTATAAGCACAGTAGAAGCACTTTAGATGCAGCTGCCGTCTTATATCATAACATTGCTTCCAGTCTAGACAAGGGGGCTAAATTTGTTCGTTGCGCCTTCCTAGACTATACATCTGCTTTCGACTCGGTCCCTAGGGACATCTTATTAAATAAACTTGCTGCTAGTCAAACAGAATGTTGGGCTGTTAACTGGTTGCATTCCTATTTCTCAGATAGAAAGCAGTACACCGTATATAAAGGGAAGTCCTCCACTTCATTGCCTACTGAAGCTGGTGTCCCTCAAGGTGCTGTTCTTTCTCCTTTTCTTTTTCTTTCTTCTTGCATGACTTGCCTCACTCTGATGAAATAAACTTTGTGAAGTACGCTGATGATTTAACGGTTTCAATGGCTGTTAACTCCCAGCTAGATTGTACTAAAATAAATAGCTTTCTATCGGAAGTCAGCAAATGGTCTGAGTCTAACGGTCTTAAACTGAATCCTTCTAAGTGTCAAACTGTTGATTTCAGCTTAAGATGTAAACGACAGTTAAAAGAAGTCATCGATTCTCATGACAGTTGTAAAATTGACGACAATGATATAGGAATCAAATCAGAAATTAAGTATCTTGGACTCATTCTCTCTTCTGATCTCTCCTGGTCTTCCCATGTCTTAGCAATCTCCAGTAAAATATTCCGCCTGACATTTTACATTAAGAAGTTAAGACACTCGGGTATAACTCAAACCCTCCTCTTACAGTTCATAAACTCTTGCATCCTACCTATTCTTCTTTATTGTTCACCCTTATTCTTTCCTGGTTTGCTTAAAAAAGACTATGTCACAATTCGTAGAATACTGAAGACTCAGTCAGTAGGGTGAGTGGTGTCCCAGTGGACCACATAGTTAACGTCGTTGTCGATAGGCACTTGACTTCGTGCAATAAATTTGCTAAAGGGATTTTGTCTGACTTGGAGCATCCGCTTTACCCTCAGCTTTCACCTTGCATCTCCTCAGGTAGAACAAGGAGTAACTTCAGAAAACTGTATGCTCGCACGTCTAAGTATAGAAATTCTATGATACCATACTTGGCACGTATTTTATGTGATGAAAATAGTGTCAGGCAAGAATTAACTAACCTTTTTCATCTAGTAAATAAACAATTTCCTCCATCCATCCTTTATACACACCTTCAAGTTTTACTTTTATTATTTCTATTATATTTATGGTCCTGTTACTTCTCTGTTTTACTCTCATAATTGCAAACACCAACTTATCTCCATGACGGCTGTAATCTTTGTTTTTCCCCTCACCATATCATGTAAAGAGAACATTATATTCAATATTTTTAAACATGTTAGGATTTCTATACCACATTGCCAATACTGTGTGAAACAAGCCAACGGCAATTTTCACTTGTATTATTATTTTTACCCTAGCTGTTATTATTATTTCCATTTTATATGCTGCATGTTTTTGACACTACCTCTATTGTAAATGTGGAAAATTTTCTGTGTGATTAATTTTATTTATAATTTGAGGAAATTAGATGCAATATTGTGATTAATGCTGAAAATTCCATTCTGTATCACAAGTACTGTTTTTGGAATCAAGTAAATCATTATTATTATTATTTTCCGAACTATGAAGATAGATACTCGTTAATACGTTTGTTGAGCTGTCTAGTTGTTCGCCCTATATAGCCAGCTCTCTCCACAGGCGCAACTAAATTTATAGATATACATAGAAGTGGCACAGCTAGGTGTAGCTTGTCTTTCTCTTGAGCAATCATAACTGATCGGCAAATGGAAAATGATAAATAAAGGGTGGAGTCAGTATAAGTCCGTTTTATCACTCTCGATAATCTCTGATGTAAGAATTCACTAGCCATGCCCCTATTAAACTGCAGTTTCATGAACAGTTGTTTCTTTTAAACACTTGTCAATTTCTATTTATTGTACTTGGTGTTCATGTGTCTCCTTGCAAATCTACTAGGATAATTCATTTTGGCCAGCATATTTTTGAATGTATCCTAGCTCATTTTCTAGGGAGTCATCTGTACAGATACTTCTTGCTCTACTCGTGAGGCGGCATCTGAACAAATTGATTTTGTATTGGACTGGAACAAAACTGATGTGGATGTATTATCTGACCAAGCTGGATGGTTAACTTGCAAAGATTTCATAGACACCCCTCCTACTAGGCAACAGAACTTCAGCGCATACTTCAATTTGACGATGTTGCCTAGTAAGGGAGGGGAGCAACAAAAGCTTCGCAAATCAACCAGCCAGCTAGCTCAAAGAACACAACCACATCTAAATACAAATGTGTTTTGCAATACAAGAATAATATTATTGATCTTCTTAGAAATATAAACAAAATAACAGTCAAATGCTTCTAGGGTGACTTACCACACTTTCTTTAAAATTGTCACTAGTCTCATTTTGTATTGAACAAGAATTGGTATGATTAAAATCCATGAGTGTAAAACACATTGAGGCAGATGTATACTTGAACATAGTTTCTTTTAACTGAAATAAATTTCTCCTTCGAATTCTCTCGTATGTATGTATATGTATTAATAATAGACTAATAATAATCTATGCCTGATGTGTGATAGGGTATCAGTGTGCCATATCAGACACTACACTGATCTCTGTTTCGGGATTCAGCTAAGTTATTATTCACAGTATTGAATAGTTACTTGATTTCACAATTTAATACTTAATAGAACATGGTAACTGTTTTCTTTTTTGCTTTTTCAAATGGTAATTATAGTGAAAGAATGAACTGGATAAATTTGATTGGTAGATAAAATTTTCTTCCTGATACAGTAAGTAAATGAATATTTTCCCCCGGCTATTTTTATTGGTAGACAATGCATATGCCCAGGAGTATTTTATTATTTATTTATTATTGCTCCCTTGGGTTCCTAGTGGAACATAGGGCTTCAACTGTACGTCTCCATTTTCTTCTGTCTTCTGCTATACTTTTCGCCTGCATCCATGTTAATCCATATTCTTTCAACTCCTCTTCACACGATCTCCTCCATGTCACCCTTGTGACGTCCCACACGCCACTTACCTTTCGGCTTCCACTCGAGGGCTTGGCGCGCGATGTCACCCAGCGGTCTCCTCAGCCACGAGTGTCCGATCCATCTCCACTTTCTCCTGCATATTTGTTGGACGATTGGTTCTGCTTTGTTTGTTCCCATAATTCCTTGTTGGTGATTCTTTCCGGCCATCTAATCTTCAGTATTGAGCAAAGACAGCTGTTAATAAAGGTCTGTAGCCTTTTGGAAATATTCTTTGTGAGACCCGCCTGCCAAGTTTCTGATCCGTATAGAAGAACTGACTTTACGTTTGTATTGAAAACCTGGATTTTGTTGGTGATGCTGAATGACGAAGATTTCCAGATTGATTTCAGGCTGATGAGTGTGTTTCTTGCCCTCCCGATTCTCGATTTGACATCCTCGTCCGCTCCTCCTGTAGTTGAGACAATGCTCCCTAGGAGTATTTTAGCCTACATTTTTATGGATTGGAATCACAGTCTCCGATAGATACTTCAATGGCAACTATGGTATATACATATATATATATATCATTTCTTTTAATTACTAGAGGAACATAGGGCTTCCGCCTCACGTCTCCATCGCCTTCGGTTCTGCACCAAAGGTGTCGCCTGCCTCCAATTCTGCCCACTTCCTTCCATCTCCTCCTCACATCGCCTCCTCCTCGATGTCACCCTCGCACTGACGACAAACTCGACGCTTCCCATTAGCGTTTCACTCGAGCGATGACTTGTCGTGTGATGTCAATTGATGGTTTGTTTTCTCAGAGTATGGCCAGCCGATATCTCTCCATTTCTCCCTGCAAATTTGTTGCACAATCGGTTCCTGGTGGGCTGGTTAGCCCATTGCCAGATATCCCTGTTGCTGATCATTTCTGACCGGCCATCTGATCTTGATCGAAGTTCTGAGCGAAGACAGATGTTAATGAAGGTCTGTAGTTTGTTTGAGGTGCTCTTCATGACGTGACAAGTCTATGATCTATAAAGTAGCTTTGACGTCACATCCGAGTTGAAAATCCGGACCTTATTTTTGATTCTAAGGGCTGTTGACCTCCACATAGACTTGAGAGAAATAAAAGCTTGCTTTACTTACCCGATCCTCCCTTTAATGTTGTCCTCATCAGTCTCGTCCACCTGTAGTTGAAACGATGCTTCACACATAGGTGAAGGAGGTTGTTTCTTTCAGGTTCCTCCTATTTATTCTGATTGTTGTCTGTTGTTGTTGCTGCTGGTATCGCTGTTGGCCAGAAATCTTCATCACCTCTGTTTTCCCTATGTTCATCTAAAGTGACGTGCTGTCATTGATGCTTCTTCTTCAAACGTGTTGCTTTTCACTTGCATATCTTCCAATTTGCGTGAAATATATATATTTAGTGCGTCAGTGGCACAGCGGTGGACTCTCGCCGACCATGCGCATGGTCCGAGGTTCGATCCCCTGCCGATGCACACCTGATATCTATGTTCGGCCTGCGAAATTTAGGCTACCGATATCCCTGCTGAAACTTCCATACTTGTACCAAAAATACGGTGGGGAATCAAGCTGTAATCAAAAATAAAAAATTTTAAAAATGAAATATTTATAGTCATAAATTTCTCAGATTGATCTAAGTGCTTCCGCAGAATCCAACAAGTATTAACTGCATTTTCAAAGAGACTGTAGTGTTTAGTTACAGGATTTAATCATGAGCTGGCATCAGTTGGAGAATCACTGGAAAACCTAGGATTACTGGACATCTATTTCGTCCTAGTTTGGGACTCTTCAGCAGTACGCACTCACCGCCAGGGTTCGAACCCAGGACCTTCTGGTTACAAGGCGAGCTCGTATACCATTAAGCCACTGGGACCCGATCCAATGGCCCATGAATTCTAACTTCTGCCAATTCACGATATGGCGCAACCGCTAGCCAATGTCTTCGGCGAGTATTTGTCCTCACACGGGACCTGCTCTACCCTACTAGTCACGCCTTCCCACTGGAGGCCCAAGTAACTATCTACCTGAATAAAGCCAGTCGCCAGTGAGCATCTCACTGGTTATGAGGCTGGCTAGCAACTCCATCCCATAAATATAAACAATGTTGCTTCTGAAACTTTGAGCCTCTAGCTCGAAGCCACCCTATGTTCCACAGGGAATGTGAAGGAATGAGAAAACCTGACGGGGATTTAGCTTACATTTGTAGCATATAATTGTATTATTATTGTTTCTTGTTATTTGTAAAATAATCAATGAGATGTACCTGTACTGCACAGTCAGTAATCGTGTTCCCACTGAGGATCAAAACCAGTACGCAGTTTGCTTCAAATGCCAATCAATCAGAGGGAAATTCATAACTCATTTTTTTTTAAATAATGAAAGATATCCCTTGGACAAGATATGGCTATTATGACCCAAGTGGCCTAGATGATAAGGCTTTGGTGTTCAAAACGACAGGAATTGAGTTCGAGTCCCACTGGAACCACTACCACTCTTAGTGACGATCCATAGATGGGGTGGAACGCATATTGGATTCTTCCCTTTTTCTCGTAAATGATTTTGTGTGAATCACTGGAATCAAGTTCGAATAAGTAAAGTATTTTTACCCTGTTTCATGAAAAAGTATTCACTCCTCCTACCAACTCTTCAGGTAATGCAGCAATCAGTCATTTACCTTATGGAGCAGAACTGTTCCACTCGAAGCATGCTTCAATTCTCCACAAAATCTTTCCCCATTTCCTTGGAACCAATTCATTGTGGTTAGTGAAAACCCCTTTGGAAATATATATTAGTATTGATTACCATTCATTTTGTTTATGTGACCCTGAGAGAAAGTACCCACGTATAATATCGACGTGTTATTAATTATATTCTGAGTGTTTCAATGTTAACACTTATGGGTTAATTGATTGCTACTGTCAGTGAATTTGATGTGACTGTTTTAAAATCGAGTTCATTCGTCAGCTGCTGACATGTAGTGGCGACAAAATTAATAACCGCTGGCATAAGTGACTTCATGTTCCAAAATATAATACCAAAGAAATCTGGAACTTTATACTGACTAACAGAGTAGGCTAATTTGTCCCTGACTAAGCCTGCTTTTGCCTGAAAAATGTTTTCTCGTGACGTGTTTCCCTTAATATCATGGGGTTCGTGTGCTTGTCATCTGATTTTTTTCGATGCTGAGTATATCAGGAAGGACAATCTTAGTGTATTTTCAGCCTCAGAGTCTCATTGAATGCAGTAATGTTAATACTGAAGTCCAACTCCACAAGGTCATATCAGTAAGTAACATTTCATGAAAGAATCCTTCTTAATGATAAAAGCACATTTTGAAAGATAAAACGGATCCATTGTTTATTCCGTTGTGTTATCTTATCTGCTGCATACAAAACAAATATTAAAATGTAATACTTCTGTAAAACTTTAAACATAATTTTATTTCACTGGGGATAAAGTGTGGGCTATTGAATAAGAATGGTTAATATATATAAATATATATATATATATAAATGATGATCCGCTCCCAGTGGAACATAGGGCTTCAAGCTAGAGGCTTGAAGTTTCTGTAGCAGTGATGACTATTTTTACAGAATAGGGTTGCTAGTCTCATGCTCAAGCTTCCTTCTTTACCAGACTCATTACTGGTTTAGAGGGGTGAAGGAGTGCCTATGTGGCCGGGTATCGTACGACGGACAATATGCGTGATCGCCGAGAACTCTACCGCTGTGTCAGCGACGAAAGGTCAATATAAGCCGAATGGTAAAAAGTTGTGAAAGTGAAACTGAAGCATACACCTTAAGTAACAGTACGATATTGATAATGAAGTTGGCAATACAAATTAAAATGACACTCATGGTTATTCAATGTCATAAAGATATAACAATTCTATGTCAGAGTTGATGGTCAGGAGAAGGATGGTGATTGAACAAACCCTTCCTAAACACAAAGATTCGACTGAAAAATGCTTTATGGTGACTACCTCAGCTATGTATTATGACAGACAACTGAAGATGTAGCAAACTGGAGAATTGAGGTACCATCTGGCGTAGAATTGTAAAGGCTGAGTGATTTTATCAATATTGTGATCCGCATCGACATCGTGTTCTAATATGAGAACCCTGATTGACTTAATTACTCCCTCCTTTATCTATTCACCTTGGAGAGTTCCGAAGAAGGTGATGGTGGGTTTTCTCAGTAATTCTACGCATGTGAATGATCTCATATGAAGATTTGAATTTTGCGAATGTGCATTGAGTTGGTCAGATGTGGTGACTTATCCTTTTCATGTATGGGGAATTATACAGTTATTGGTGAATTTTAAACGGAGTGTTGAGGCAGAGAATGTGTTAGCTATAATTTTTCTGAGTTTCAGCGCCAGTAGCTGAATGACTGCGTCTCATCTGAATAGTAAAGTTATATATATGTGTGTACTCCATATATGTTATGTATTTTTCATTTATTGAGCAGTCAAAATTATTCAGTAGGTTAGTTATAAAACGTCTTAGAATCTGTTTTTTTTTCATAATGTCTGAGAGCTCGGATCTAAAGTGATGCAAAATAGGAGAACAGAACTACTATATTGATAAGATCTACTTATCAGTCGTTGAGTACGTCGGGGACACAATGGTAAAATTCCCTCCAACCATGACTCATGTGGTTCGAGGTTCGATTACCAGTCGACGAGGCACTATATTACCTCACTA